ATGACTAGGGTGGATAGAAGGAGAATTGATGCCTTTGAGCTGTGGTGCTGGAGAAGAGTATTGAATGTACCCTGGCCTGCCAAGAAAACAAACAGATTCACCCTGGAGAGGGTTAAACCAGGCTACTCCTTGGAGGCAAGGATTCTGAGGCTCCGTCTGACGTACTTTGGACATGTTGTAAGGAGAGACAGGTCCTTGGAGAGGGACATCATGCTTGGGATGGTGGAGGGACAGCACAGAAGGGGAAGACCCTCTATGAGGTGGATTGATTCAGTGACTGGGGTAATCGGAATGGTTGTGTCAGAGACAGTGCGATTGGCGCAGGATAGAGCAGGGTTTAGGGCTGTTGTACATAGGGTCGCTATGAGTCGCAAATGACTCGATGGCACATAACAACAACAACAACAAAAACAAAAGTTGGTGGTTTGGACCTACCAGCTGGTCCACATGAGAAAGAGGAGAGAGTGTACTTCCATAAAGGTTAGAGCGCTGGGAACCCGGGGGACAGGTGTCCTCCATCCGATAGGGCTCGTGACTGGGAGTCATTTCTTGGCCAGGGGCTAGGTTTGGTTTATGGATCTGTTCCTGTAGTGTTAAGTGATAAGGTCATCTTTCTCCGAGGGCTCTCGTGGTTACCTTAGTCCCGCTAGAACAATGATAGGATTTCATTGTACTATTTTCCATTTCCTCCCCCTCCCGTTTGACAGGAATACTTGGACAATGTGATTCAATTCTACCACACGACTGTCGAGAGCATTGACTTTCGGAAGGACACAGAAAAGTCCAGACAAGAGATTAATTTCTGGGTTGAGTCTCAATCCCAAGGTAATAAAGAGGAATGCAGGTTGTGGCTGGTATTTCTTTCCATTTTAGAGGACAACAAGCCAGTCCAGCTCTTGAGGTCTCCTGTCTCTCAGGGCCAGGAGCCCCTGCGTGGGGACTGGCCTCCAAGCTTGTTCTGCAGGTGTTGGGCTTGTTAGTGTGTAGATACTGGTGCTTTGATTCCAGCTCTTACATGCCACTGGAAAGGTGAAGCCCTGTCAGCCAGGTACTGGGGCAGCAGAGTGTTGCCACGATTTTTAAAGAAGCAGTAAAAATTCATGCTTATAAAGAAAGTTTAGTGCCTCAGAGGAAAAAAAAATCCCATCCCAATTATTATTAGCATTTTAGTAGTTCTAGGCAGTTCCTGAGTAAGAAGATATTACAGATGGGGATAATTTGTGCTCAATAAAAAAATGAAATAATATTTTAATATAAAACTTCTCTCCAAGTCTTGTCAAGGCCCCACAAAATAGAAGTATAAGTGAGCAAGTGAATGAGTAATGATATCATGATAAATGAAGAAAAGAGTAAAGATGTATCTGTCAAGGATTTCATTTTTCTTGGATCTAAAACCAAGGGCCATAACAGCAGTAGTCTAGGAATCAATTGATTTGTTGCATTGGGAAAAATCTCCTGCAAAAGAGCTTCTTTAAAGTGTTAAAGAGCCACGGTATCTACTTTGAGGACTGAGGCGCACCTGGTGAACGTATTTTCATTTGTCTCATACGCGTGCGAAAGCTGAATGAGGATTAAAGAAGACTGAAGAATATTAGATTCATTTGAATTCTGATCTTGGTGAAAAACATTCATGGGCTGTGAAAAGAATGAATAAATATGTCTTGGTAGAAATATGGTCCAGGAGGAGCTGGTGAGATTTAGTCTCACATACTTTGGGCTTCTTATCAGGAGGCATGAATCTCAGGAGAGATACTATGCTTGGTAAAGTAGACGGTTAGCAAAAGAGAGAAAGAGCGTCAAGGAGACAGACTGACACAGTAACTTCAAAAGAAGCAAAAAAAAAATCATTGAACTTTAAGTCGACCTGTCATATCAGAATTTCTTAGGATTTATCCCTTTGACTTATAACATGTACCACACAGCAAAAATGATGTAATTTATTAAGGAAGAGTTTGAGCTGTAGGGAATTTAAAATAATTCTTTTTGTCTTAAATTTACTTGGAGTTAATGTTTAAATTTGCATTGCGTTGCTAAGAACCCACCCAAGTAGAAAAATTTCCAGAATTGGACAAAGAGAATGAAAAGAAGTCGGGGATGTGTATGTGGGTGGGAGGGGCATGCTTTAAAAAGCTGCCTCTGAAATGAAGAAGCTGGCAGAAGTGGCACAATAAGAGTGGCAGAGTGGAGACACCGTAACGGAAGACCACATAAAAACTTGGACGAGTGGTGTTAGGGGAGATGGTAAGAAGTTGTTGGATTTGAGAAGCATTTAGAAGTAGAATCAAGTTTTTCTCAAATAATTGATGGGATGTTTAATGAGAAAAGAGTCTTCAAGAATGGCCCCGTAATACTCAGTTTTGAATATTTTAATTCTTCAAAATGCCAATCATGCTGTAAATAAATATCAAAATGTCACCTTTCTGACTTCTTTTTTTTTGCATGGAAATATGCTTTATCCATACTATACGGTTTTGAGAATTTATAAGAACAGGCTGACATCTTTGAACAATGTTTCTGCCCTCTTGTTTGCAGTCTGATTTGTGGCAGTCTTTTCCATTTCAGGATTAGACTCTTTGTTCTGGATTTACATCTATATTTGGACTTGGTTGTAACCAACAAATAGACCTTGACTTCAAGTCATTTTCTTTCATACTTCTTGTTGACTTGCAGTGGTCTTGTCTTTGGGCAACTAAATATATGTTTACATCAGCCCAATGTCAGAGACCCCAAAGCATCCCAGAGCTGTTAGATGGGAAGGTGGGAGGGGTCTTATTGGCAATTCCTGCATGAGAACCTCCCCCAGCCCCAAAGGTCAGATTATGATGTTGAGCCAAGAACAGGACATCTTTGACTGTCAGTGCTGGGATGGGATAAAGTTCATGTGTGCGAAGTCCAGAGTTTGTGAGAGGGAGCAGGTGGTGCACTGCTTTCCTGGCCTTCCCCGTGGCATGAAACCTCCCCAGGGCATTTGCCTGCATTCCAGGTGAGCAATCATGGCTTGAGAACAAGGGCCAGTTTGTTCTGGTTTGTCTTGTACCTGGTGTGTGCAGCTTTTCGTCCTTCCTCCTTTCTTCCATCTGGTGACTTCTGTTTTCTCTCCTATTTGCTCTGGCTTACAGTTGGGAAGCTCCAGCCTGGCCTTTATGTAAGAAAGTCTCCAAAATTCAAAGTTGTCTCTTTCCTTATCTGCCTCCAACCCCCACTCTGATTCCTTCAAAATTCCACTCACTGGTCAAGAGTGATGCAGATTTGTAAAGGCATCAAGTTAAGACCTGAGTTTCTCTAATGAGTTCACTCTTACTAGTTTAAGTGTAGTGGGTGCTAACATAGTCTATTAGTAAATTATCTAAGAGTAGAGAGGTCTTCTTGCTTCAGGACGTAGGCATCAGTCACTAGTATTAATGTGACTGGTGATTTGGGTATTTTGAATTGGAGTATGTGTAAGGTGTGTGCACACAAGCAGAAATCCATTCCAAGAGCCTCTCTCATATTATTGCAACTTATATCTTCCATAAAAAGTAGATTTTTTTCCTTTATAGAAATATAAAAGGTGAACAATGAGGGGTAAGGTTCCACAAGCAGGAAACAGCAACAAACCTCAAAGTCAGAGAAGAGGTCAGACTTCTCAACACATAAGAAACTGGTAGAACCCCAAGACTATGGCTCTTTGCCACCCTTTGTACTTGGAACTAAACACTCCTGTGGCCCAGCTTTCACCCAGGCTAGAAACAGGTCCAGGTAGCAGTCAACACACCAGGAGGAAGGCCCTCTTAGAACACGCTCTAATTGGAGGCTCCTGTGGGTTGGGGCAAGCTCTCCCATTCCTCACTGCAGCCGCAGTCCCTCCCTACCCAGGACTGGGAGTGTCTTGATTTTCATGGGTTAATTCTTGAATGAAATGTCCTCCAGCATTGGGGTTGCTAAGCTGCCTTTACTTATTTGGTTTTTGGCTCTGTCTCCGTGAATGTCCTTGACCCAGATGTACTCAGGATGCTCTCTGGTGTGCTCTCTTCAGGTAAGATCAAGGAACTCTTCAGCAAGGACACTCTAGACAGTGCCACGGTGCTGGTGCTAGTGAATGCTGTGTACTTCAAAGCCAAATGGGAGAGATATTTTGACACCAAAAACACAGTTGATGCAACTTTCTGTCTCAATGAGGTACTTTGCTGGAGCACGGGGTTTACCAGATATCGTTCTACTCATAGTTCCCACTAAGAATAACTTGACATTGGTGTACTCAAATCTAGGGTCTAGCTTCCATTGATAAGAGGAATCTCAAGTTCATGAGCATTTTGGGCCATGTACTAACCTGAGTACTTCTAGCATCACTGCAGCAACATGCAAGGCACCAGAGCATGATAAACTGAGCAATAGCTGATGGATTGGCAAAGGAGCTCACCTGATGAGTGCATGGGACTCCACTCGATTGGATCCCTGAGAGGGCTTCTGATCTGAGCCCTTTTCTTCTTAAAGAAGTGCTGTTTTTGGGTAGTCGGAGCAGTGAGAAAAAGGCTCTGTGGGTTTGTGGGCTTTTCACGGCAACCTCGTGACTCCCTGTGTGTCTGCTACAGAAGGAAAAGAAGAAAGTGAAGATGATGCATCAAAGGGGCCTGTTTAGAATCGGCTTCATAGAGGAGGTGCAGGCTCAGGTCCTCGAGATGAGGTACACCAAGGGCAAGCTCAGCATGTTCGTCCTGCTACCGCACGCATCTTCAGACAACCTGGAGGGCCTGGACCAGGTAACCATTTACTTCTGCATGCCTACCCAGTATGCAATTAGAGACCATTGGATACAGCCCTGACCACTTTCCATAGGTCTAAGGAAAACTGAGTTATCAGAGCCCCCATCGGGATACACAGATCAGAAAGCAGTTGACATGTGACTATAATTCATGGTGACCCGGGCACATCAGAGGGCAGAGCTGTCCTCCCTAGGGTTTTCAGCGGATGGGTGCCCAGCTGGAGATTGCACAGCTTCACTTCCCGGGCGCCCCATAGCTGTCATCAGGTGCTGGTGAGCTGGCTCTGAGTCTTCTGAGTCATAGCAACCATGTGTCCAGCAGAAAGAAGCCAGTCCTGTGTCCTCCTCACAGTCCTGCAGTACTTCAGCCTATTGTTATGGTCACTGGACCTTATTTACACCACCTTAATTGGAGGGTTCTTTAGGCTCTGTTTATATGTAAAGAACAAAAGCTAAAACGTTGTAGTAGAAGTTTTAACCCAACAATGCAGCACATTTGTTTTCCCAGACCAAGGAATCTGGATACCAAGATTAAGAATCATTGCAAATGAATTAGCCTTCCTCCTTAGCCCCTTTTTTAATACCTTTTACATTATTTTCCTAGAACTTCATTAAAAACTCATTTGATTCTTTTTTTTTTTAATTGAGTGTTTATTTTGACAGAAGGGAGGTACTGATATGGGAGTAGATTATTTTAAGGAGAGATAGAGACACAAAGGCAGATATTGTTTTGTTGTTGTTAGAGGCTGTTGGGTTGGAACTGACTCAGAGCTGACCCTCCATCTGGTTTTCAGAGGCTGTAAATAGCAGGGGAGGAGATTGTTTTTCTCCTGTAGAGTAGCTGGTGGATTCGAACTGCTTGCCTTTGGGTTGGTAGTACAACTCCTTACCACTAGGCCTATATCAACAATAGTACCATTGTGTGACATCTCTGTGTTAGTACTTTACATATGCTGTTTAACTGTCCTGAGAGTCTATCATATTATCTCTGTTACATAGAACAGAACATTGAATTCAGAATGTTAAGGTGGAACTCACCCAACTAAATAACTGAGCTTTGCTGCTGCACCCACAGCTAGGACCAAAATTGTTTCATACCTTCTTGTAAACGTGATAGAAATTAAGTGAAAACAGAGGAGTGCTGGTGGCCTAGTGGCAAGAAGCTATGCTGCAGTCCCAAGGGCATGCAGGTGGAGGCCACCAGCTGCTCCACAGAAGAAATATAGACAGTCTACTCTTGTGTGAGTAATTGCCCCTGAAAACCCACTGGAGGGTCAGTTATGGGTCAGTTCTGACTCTACGGTACACAACAACAACAGTGTAGAAATGAACTCATATCCTTGAAGGAATTGGAATATTTTTCTTCACAGTTCCGTAATCTGTTGTTGTTAGGTGCCATTGAATAATCTGTGACTCATCGTGACCTATGCACAACAGAGCAAGGAGCCACCTGGTCCTGTGCCGGCCTCCCAGTCGTTCCAGGGTTTGAGCTCTTTCTCATAGCTGCATGTGAATCCTTGTTGTCTCCAGTCCTCTGCTTTCTCACTTAACCACGTACTTTACCAAGCGACAAGTCCTCCTCTGTGGACTGAGTCTCTCCTGACAACCTGTCCTAAGTGTGTGAGATGAAATCTAGCTATTCTTTCTTCCTAGGAGTGTGCTGGCTAAACTCGTTCCTTGACAGACTCATTTGTTCTTTGGATAATCCATATATTAGTTAATGTTCTTCATCAGCACCAAAATTCAAGTTCAAAGGCATCAATTCTTGGATCTTCCTTAGTCATCGCCTAGCTTTTACATACATATGAGAGAATTGAAACTACCATGACTTGGGTTAGACACAGCCTGGTCCTCAGAATGACCTCTTTGGTTTTGAGCATTTTGAAGAGCCTTTTGTAGCAAATCTGACCCTAAATGTTATTTTTTCACCCCCTTCGCAGCTTGAAAGTGAACTGACCTATGAAAAACTAATGGCCTGGATTAGCTCAGAAAATCTGTCAGAAGAAATGGTTGCTGTCTCCTTCCCCCAGTTCACCCTGGAAGACAGCTATGATCTAAACTCTATCCTTCAAGACATGGGCATTGTGGATATCTTTGATGAAACCAAGGCTGATCTCACAGGCATCTCTTCCAACCCTAATTTGTACCTATCAAAGATTGTCCACAAGACCTTCCTGGAAGTGGATGAAGATGGCACCCAGGCAGCTGCAGCCAGTGGAGCTGTCGGCACAACAAGGTCAATGCCGTCTGAATTGACATTTATGGCCAACCATCCTTTTATCTTTATTATCATACACAACAAAACCAAAAGCATTCTGTTCTGTGGGAGGGTCTGCTATCCTTGAAAGAAGCACAGGGTCTTGTGCTTAGGAGCTTGAAGACTAGGACAGTGTACCCTTCCCTGACATAACACAAGTACTCACACTATTGTCAATCTACACAACTACCTTCATTGTACTCCAGCCTGTAGAGATGCTAATCCTCACCTCTCCCTCACAGCTGCTTCTCACATGTGTCTGTTAGAATGGGCAAGCCTTTCCTCTCTCCCTAGCCTAAGTTTTCAGGTGTACAAATTCACTGTATATGGCTTGAAGATCAACACGATTCACAGGGTACTGACTTTGTTTAAATTAGTTTGCTCACGCGCTGAATCAAAGAATTCTGAAAGTTCAAGGCATTCGGCTACGAGCTGGTCAGATCAGAAACCACTTTAAGACAGGCAGCAAGCAGAAACTGTTAAAAGAGTTTTGGAAACCCAGCTCCATCTCATGAGCAGATTGAATGGAGGTTAAATAGTTGCCTCTTGTTCTTAGGTTTCCTTCTATTGTTTGGAAGTAGTGAGAAACTTCTCAAGTGAGAGGAAGTGAGACGAGGGAATGGATTTATGCAACAGTTGGAAGGCTTGAGAATGTCCTACTCCGTTCTCAGAAAGCAGGAGGATGACACTTGTGAACTTGACACAGAGCCAGAGTGGCAGGTGGTCTCCGTTTTCCTTATTAAGTCCCATGGGACACCATCACGGCCATCAAGCTCTCAAAGCCTCCAGACATGCTCTCCTTCCAAAAAACCCAGCACCAGAGCCCTGGAGGCACAGCTTCTGCATTTGTCATTGCTCAAATACCTAGATGCTGAGAATGAGAAAGGAGAGCATCTTTTATACGGACTGTGGGCTTCTTACTCCCTTCTGTGAGCACTCTAGCTGTGCACGTTTTGTCCTCTCAGAGACAACATGACTAACTGGTCACATCTTGAAGAATACCCTGGGCTTGGAGATCCACGTATATGGAGATCTTTATTAGGAGGACTTTGGACTCTGTATCAACCTCTGATCTTGATCTGTGATCCTCTTACCTACTGCGAACCTGTCACCTAAATGTTAAGATGCCTGCACCTGAGACTTCCTTCTCTGATTTGATAGCCTTGAGCTCTGCCTTATTTGGGGCCGCTGGAGTGACCCCTGACATGGCTAACTCAGGAAGTTTGTCAGTCTTTCTTCAATTAAGGTAGATGTCTAATGCTCAATTTTCCTGTCTCATGACTATCCTCCTGACAATTACCACAGAGTTGATTATATGCGCTCGTGTTGTTTATTATCTGCTCACATGCTGACCTGTGTCCTAGATTTCCTGTATACCAGGTAGTTTCTGTACTGTAAGAGATCCGTCAATGGTCTTCAGGCAGGTTTCTTATTGTGGAAACTTACTCAGGGTATAAAACAATATCTTATTGGTTACATGAGTCAGATTAAGACAGTTATTAAAAGACATTTTCCCAGAATATATACCCCATGGATCAAATTTCTTTCAAATAATCAAATATTTCATTTTTCCCCTCATTACCTTTGGGGTTGAGTTAGTTCATGTTTGACTTTGATATCACTGTCATGCATTAAACTTGATGACCCATTGTCTAGTTTTTTGTTCTTGTTGATATTTTTGGTAAAAATATTTTTCTCTTTTATACTAGGATTTTGTAGAATTGGAATTTTGAGAGGAAATGTCTATTTAAATAATGACAAAAAGCAAGATTGTTAATATTGTTGTTGTTCCTATGTGCATTTGAGTTGCTTGCAACCCTATGTATGACAGCTCTGAACCCTGCTCGATCCTGAGCCAACCTTATTGTCTCTGACACATCTACCCCCACTACTCCAGTCACTGAGTCAATCATCATCTCATCAATGGTCTTCCTCTTTTGCACTGTCCCTCCACCATCCCAAGCATGATACCCCTCTCCAAGGACTGGTCTCTCCTTGAAACATACCCAAAGTATTTCAGACAAAGCTTCAGAATACTTGCCTCCAAGGAGCAGCCTGGTTTCTCTCTCTCTCTAGGACTAACTTGTTTATTCTCCCAGCTGTCCATGGTATATTCAATACACTTCTCCAGCACCACAGCTCAAAGGCCTTTCCATAAATAATAAACTCATATTCTGTACTCACTTTTCATTGATTCAAATATCTCTTAGTGAATAAAGAACTTTGGTATTAGTTAAAACATACCCATAATATATTGTCAGTTGACTTTTTATTACATTGTACTTTTTAAAACTTTCATCCAAAAATACAGCAATATATAATCTATAAAATTTGCAGTTCATCTCAGTTATGTAGGGAAAAGTTATCTTGTCCAAGTTGTGCTTTCTCCCAACTTACATATGAAGAGAAAGGAATAATTTCTTTTCTAAGGATTATCACATGCCTGGTTCCTGAAAGCAATAGTTGGAGCTATCCCCAATGTCTGTAACTTTCCCAGACTTTTGTACCACTCTATCCTCTAACTACAACTATTACTCCTCTCAGTATTCTTCATCTTTTTATTTCATAATTTGCTGTAACATCTCACAGAACTTGCAAACTGTAATTACAGTCAAATGACTTATGCGTAAAACAACAGGGTGCAAGTAGGCATTAGAATCCACATGAAGTAACACGAACAGGGTACAGTTCTTATGTCAGAGCAGCTTCTTTTCACCCTCGGCCACCAAGTCCCACGTGGATCCTTCTTGCTGCTGTATCTTGCTTAAGCAAGTGCTAAATTCTTTCTTTAGCTTTGCAGATAAGTACCTGGAAATGTCTCTCTTCTCTGTCAGTAAGTCTCCTGTCGCAAAGCACTCCGCTTTCTCACTCTCTCACTCTGTGGGTTTGTACTGTAGCTGCCTTGCTCCATGGTTGGGAAGCCCATTGCTGCCACCTTGAACTTGTCTCTGCTTTCTGCCATTGCCATGTCTCTGCTGGTGAATGCTTTCGTGCTCTCTGTGCTTTTTGCAGTGCTGTGCACCTCTGGAGTTAAAGCTCTCTGGCTGTTGGTCTAGGAGGTTCTCCCAAGAAGGGGACCCAGGGTCTAAAGGACATACTACACTCCTGGCTCCTCTTCTTGATGGTAGTGAGGCTCCCTTTAAGCATCGTGAGATGGACAAACTGACAAATTTTCTCATTAATATCCCACATACACTTTGATGGGCCCCAATTAGCTCATTTGCAGAGTTCTGGCCACTCATTTTTTAGTGTGTCACAAGACTACAAATGGGTAGAAGTAAGCAATTCACTGCACTATAGAATGCGTAGGCTGAGGAACGGTTTTGGTTGTTGTTTAAATTTTGTTCACAATTGTGTGTGAGCTGATTGGAGCTTCTGGATTGAGGGGAAGCTGCTTTTTTACAGTCAGCAGGACCTGGTGGAGGCCTTGGAATTGAAAACTAAGTTGGGCCCTCAGGCCTGCAGCCCTCAGGCCTGATGCTAATTGTGTTTGGGGCTAACATTCTTCGCAGGGGTACTGCACTGGTCTGTCAATTTGCTGTACTGAAGTAAGTTGGCTATCTTGCTGTGTGGCTGGCTACTGTGCCACTGGTGTGTCAAGTGCCATAATGGTTACCCATGGTGAACAGTGTTCTGTGGAGCTCCCAGATTAACACAACCTTGGAAGCAGGAGTGGCATCCACTTCCTAAACAACATGCCTCTGGAAACTATAAATTTACAGAAACGATGAGAGTTATATAATAGGGTTCGGGTTTTTTGTTCATAGTGTTGCTATGAGTTGTTTTTGACTCGACAACACTTAACAACAACAACGAATTCATACAAAAAAGAAGAAAACTTAGAATAATTCTAAAACCCAAGTGTGCTATCCAACTATTCGTTAGACTAGGAAAGAAATTTTTTGGCCGATAAATAATGGAGCTGAACTTAAAGGCATCAATCTACATTGCATCTTCCCACCACCGTCTTCTCTTGAATTCTGAAATGCAGGCCTTTGCGTGTGTAAGTTCTGGACGTCCACCTCTCCATTGTATACTTGCTGCTGTACTCCAGCTTCTGTCCTTATCAGCTTGTTTTCTTTCTGTAGTCATTTGAAGACTGAACAAAAAAGCATACTTTTGATACAAGTGAGGGCAAAGATCGACACTTTTCACCTCAGGCAGTTTAGTCCCATCACAAGTACTTTGGGTGTAAAGTCAGGAAAAGTGCTAGAAGAGTGTATTTGGACTTGGGTATTTCATATACTCTACTGACTTAGAGACCCAGACTATCCAGGGAGAGAAAATTCTACCTTGACTCAGAAGAATTATGGAGATTTCCTCAATGCAACGTGTCTTTTAATTTCTTGACTGCTGTTACCATGGGTGTTGATTATGGCTCTAAGTAAAATGAAATTGTTGACAACTCCTAAAACACATAGTCACTCTGTCTATGACAGTGGCAGAATCATCATGGTGGCAGATCAGATCTTTCCTCTTTTAGAGCTGTGTGGGTTTAAATTAAACGCATGTTCTCTGATTGGGACACAATAAGGTGAAAGATCTCAAAAGTTAGTAATCTCTTACGGAAAAATGTGATCTCAATGTGATGATCAAAGGAGGAAGAGAAATTCTTCATTTTTAATTCTCGATATCACTCAAAATTTGTTGGAAGTGGCATCTTTTTTTTTTTTAATTAAATGGTGTATCCAAGCATGAGGAAAGTTTTAATATCCAGAATAAAATGATAGCCATGAACTCTATGGATTGGAACAATTCAAAGCAATAGTGACAATGGTTTAGGGCTTGAATTCTAGCATAAAGGCTGGCAATTTGAACTCATCCAGCAACTCTGTGGGAGAAAGACCTAGTTATAAGATCACCACCTAGAAAACCTTATGCAGCAGTTCTACTCTGTAACAAGGGGTTCGCTTTGAGTGAAATTGGCCCAGGGCCCCAATAACATAAAACAATACTTGATTGCTTCTGTGTGTCACGCCCCTTCTAAGGCCTTTCTGTAGCCCATTTGATCTCTCAGCCATCCCGGGAGGTTATTGTTCTTTGTTGCCATGGGGTTGCCTCACAGTTGTCACTCACAGTGACATGGAA